AAGGGGAAGGGAAGGGGAAGGGAAGGGGAAGGGAAGGGGAAGGGAAGGGGAAGGGAAGGGGAAGGGAAGGGAAGGGAAGAGGACTACACATGTAAAGCTACACTGTGAAGATATACAATGTAAAGGGCCAAATACCAATCTCCTGGCTCCAAGCTCTTTCCTCTCCACTGTATCCAGACTGATGATTTTGTTCCCTCACTAACCTTCTCAAACACTGCCTTGATTCTTCACTTAAAAATTCTTCGGTGGTTAAAGAGCTTTCAATATTCAAATTCTAGTTTCCTTTTGCATCTAATCTTTAATTACAAACCTCCCAAATCCTCTGGTTCACTTTGCATGGAATAAATAGTATTCTTTTGTACTTGGCGACTTTTGATTGGACCAGTGATTCTTAAACTCTAGGATGCATCAGAATCACCTGGAAGGCTTGTTAGTGCACACAGATGCTGGGCCTCTCCCCCAGAGCTTCTGATACAGTAGATGTGGAGTGGGGTCTGGCAGTTTGCATTTCAAATGAGTTACCAGGTGATGTTGATGCTGTTCTTTGGGGGACCAGATTTTGAAAATACCTGACTTAGATCATTTCCAGGGTTCTTAAAGAAAATATAAAGCAAGGAAGACCAAGAAAAACATTTGGCATAATCTGGCATTTTGCAGATTATTTCGTAAATATATAACATCAAGTTTAGAATATGCCTATATATTAGGTTCCTAGAGGGCAAGGTTTGAACTGGGTATACATTTATTAAATAAGTGTTACCCACCACACACAATGTATTTAGTATTAAGTACTATGTTAGGCTCACTAAATATTATATAACAGTGAGTTAAAATGCACAAAAATAATAAGCATTTTAGCAAGATAATATGTAAGATCCCACAATTCAAAATACCCACTGCAAGTCTAATGAAATAAGCAGATATTGTAAATGGATGTTTGAGACTGAACTCAGGGAGTACATTGATGTCATTTTTATACCTCAATAAACTTACTTCTCCAGGACCAAGGCAAACTCTATAGATTAGTGCTTATGAGAGTCCATGGCACACAAGAGGTATTCAGTAAAGTGAGCCCCTCGGGCCCACTGTAATGTGGCTAATACCAACTCAGTGTCCTCAGGGACCCAGATGGCTTGGAAGTGGTCCAAGATGAAGGTTTGTTTAAATGCCGGCACTTGACATTCTTGTCGGTAGCTACCTTGACAGACCTTCCTCAATTCTGAAAAAGTCTGAAGAAAAGGGATATACCTGCTGGTTCTGTAGTGTATTCAGCTGAGAATCAAGTTTCTTCCTTTCAATACATAAGTCATTCATCTGATGAAGCTTTTTGGTGTGTTCTTTTGTCTTCATCATCAGTTCCCATCGCACTTGAGCAATCTTGTCCTACCAGGGAAGGGAGATGCAGAAGAGATTTAGTGAATAAGAGAGAAAATAGAGAAACATAAGTACCCAGATTTGATCAAAATGATCAGGCAAATGAAAGAACATGTACATATGAAAATACAGTCAGAAGCCACTATGAAAATGCAACAGAAGCAACTGCATTGGGTCTGGTTTGGTTAAAGATAAGAGCATAAGTATGCTTCAGAATAAGAGCAGGGAGAAATAAGATAGACAGAACTCTATTGTTGAGAAATAAATTAGTATGCATACTGGTACTCATTACTTGAAAGAAAGGATGATCATTTACACAGCAAACTTTTATATATTGCCCTTTCCCCAGTCTTGGCCCAGGATTCTCATGGTAGATGGCTTAAATGGTCAGGTATCTGTATTTTCTTTCTTCTGTTCTCTTATTGCTCCAACAAATTATTTTAGATTGTGTATATATTATCTCCAGCATTCCCCTGATAGGGAGAGTCCCACTAACATGAACACTTAAATAATCTATTTCTTCAAAGCACAGTGATAGATCTTAGATTGGTAAAGACGAGATGGGGCCATTGGATAAGATAGCAGGAACCTCTCCTCCTACCCTATCTGCTGACGAGATAAGGCAGGAGATTGGAGAGGTCCTATGATCTGTGGGCTTACAGAATCTTGGTAAAAGCTCCTGTCTCTGAGTCAGGTTGGAACTGGGGCACTGCCCCATCTTACGGCTTAGGGAACAGTATGTAGGCATTAACATCTTCTAAGACCCTACCAAATAGTCTATACCTTGTTATAGAAGGTATTACTTAGAGATATTTTCTTTTTTTGAGTTGGAGTCTCCCTCCGTCGCCCAGGCTGGAGTCCAGTGTTACGCTCACAGCCACTGCAGCCTCTACCTGCTGCGCTCCGGCGATCCTTCCACGTCAACCGTCCAAGTAGCCGGAACTACAGGCGCGCACTACCACGCCTGGCTAGTTTTTGATTTATTGTAGAGACGAGGTCTTGCCAAGTTGCCCAGGCTGGTCTTGAACCTACGGGCTCAGGCAGTCCACTCACCTCGGTCTCCCAAAGTGCTGGAATTACAGGCTGAGCCACCGAGCCCGGCCTAGAGATATTGTCTAATTTCCAAATTGGAGCTGCATGCAAAAGCTATACAGTAATACAATTAGAATGCTCAGAGGATAACAGTTCCATTTCGAACACAGTCAGAACCTTTATACCTCAAAGTAGGCCTCAAAGTGGGAGCTCTTCATAATCTTTCATCTGTTTCTCATCATATATATCTGCTCCCTGGATCCCAAAACCTAGGTCCTGGTGCTCTCTTTTTTTTTTTGAGCCGGAGTCTCACTCTGTCGCCCAGACTGGAGTGCAGTGGCTGCTCCCGGCCACTGCAACCTCGACCTGCTGGGCTCCAGCAATCCTTCCACCTCAGCCTTCCAAGTAGCCGAAATTACAGGCATGCACTACCACGCCTGGTTGATTTTTTGATTTATCATAGAGGTGAGGTCTCGCTGCCCAGGCGGGTCTTGAACCCGCAGGCTCAGGCAATCCACTCACCTCAGCCTCCCAAAGGCGCGGGATTACAGGCTGAGCCACCGAGCCCGGCTTGTCCTGGTGCTCTCACTTCAAGACAGAACAAGTACCTCTAACTAAGGGAACAGAAAGGAAGTCAAGACAGGCCTAAGATCCCAGGGCAGTCAAATATGGCTCACAGGCCCCGCCCCAGCACACAGATGCTTCTCGGGAACCACTGACTGCACACCAGGTTTCTTGATTCCTCTCTGATTCAACCAAAGATCACTGGCCCTCTCCTCCTCACCTCCCACATCTTCATTTCCTTTGCATTTGCTAGCTCCTTCCGAAGTTTTCTGATCTTCAGTTCTTCAAGGGTTGTATTAACAGAAAGGGTCTGAAGGGCTTCGAGGTCTATCACGCGGCCAAATTTGCTGATCATTAGTTGATGGACTGTTTCTTCCATTTCTAAAAGACCATAGACACTAGTCACTAGCTCAGTGGTTCTCATTGTTATTAAATGAACACTATCAGTAAAAGTAAAGTTCTAAGGAATGGCTTTTGCAAGATAGTAAAAGATTTTATGTTACCAGTTGATTATCCCTCTGTGACATTTCATTGCTGCTTTTCTCATTTAAATTACACATTTATCAACCTTTGTGGAAAGCAGTGTGGCAGTTTCTCAAATAACTAAAAATTGGGCTACCATACAATCCAGCGATCCCTCTTCTGGGAATATACCCAGAGGAACATAAATCGCTCTACTAAAAAGACACCTACCTGCACACATATGTTCATTGCAGTGCTAGTCACAATAGCAGAAACATGGGACCAGATCAGATGCCCACTGAAAATGGGGTGTATAAGGCTGGGCTCTGTGGCTCAGCCTGTAATCCCAGAACTTTGGGAGGCTAAAGCGAGTGGATTGCCTGAGCCCACAGGTTCGAGACCAACCCAGGCAACTTGGTGAGACCTCATCTCTACAATAAATAAAAAATGAGACGGGCACAGTAGTGCGTGCCTGTAATTCCGGCTACTTGGAAGGCTGAGGCGGAAGGCTTGCCGGCACCCAGCAAGTTAACACTGGGGTGACCTGAGTGTGCCACTGCACTGCAGCCTGGGCGATGGAGTTAAACTCCAACTCAAAAAAAAAAAGAAGAAAAGAAAATGGGCTGTATAAAGAAAATGTGGTACATATGCACAATGGAATACTACACAGACATAAACAAGAACAAAATCAGCAAAATCTATGTCCTTTGCAAGCAGCATAAATGCAGCTGGAGACCATCATTCTAAGTGAACTATCACAGAAACAAAGAACTGGATATCGCACATTCTCACTCATAAGTAGGCCCTAAACATTAGGCACATGAGTACAAAGGTGAGAACAACAAATGCTGGGCACTGCTAAAGGAGGGAGGATTGGAAGGGGGATATGAGGGCCACAACCACCCACTGGGTACCACGGCCACTACTGTGGAAAGAGGACTCACTAGAAGCCCAAACCTCACCTGCACACAACTTACTTATGTAGCAAATCCCCACATGTACTGCACAATTCTAAAATAATAAGATAAAAAAAAATAAAATGCCCATTTGGTATTATCTTTTCATCTTCAAAACCCTGTGTAAAATGAACTCATTTTCCTAACTGGCTTCCACACTCTGATCTGCCCCTTCTCAGGTTGTAACGGGTTCCAACTAGATTATGAACTTTTCAATTTTTAAAAATGATTGAGCTTTACAGCATCTAGGGTTAAGAACAGAGCAGGCACTTCGTAGAAGGCTCCGTGTTACTCCAAGTAAAAAGTAAAGTCCTGCAGCAGCTCCTGAGGCCCTGCTTGCCCTGTGGTCCCTCCTACTCCGTTTCCCAGGCTCTCCTCTTCTCCCCCTACTCCAGACACACTGGCCTCCTCTCTGCCTTTCAGACGTGCCAGGCTTGCCCTCAGTTCCCTCTGACTGCCGTTCCCCAGAGATCCACAGGCCTCACTCCTCGCAGCCCCTTTTCTGAAGGCAAGTTGGGAATAGACTTGTTTCCTGACTCCGAAGTTGAAAATAAGAGCAGGCTCTTGTCCTCTACCCAGAAAAAGTCACGGCTGACCAGAATGGCACCGCGCTGGGGAGCCCTTCCCTGCCTCCCACAATCCCCATCACTCCCTCTCAATCCACTGTTAATTTTTCATTTTAGCAATTATCTCCATCTAACATGCAATATATTTTACTTTTGCTTGTTGTCTTTCCCCAGAATGAGAACACTACAACACCAGGGGGAGATTCTTCTTTGGGGCCTGAGCTCTCCAAGAAAATATAATCTTGTTACAAGACTTCTCAGTCACCAGACTAGCCATAACTAAAGTTTGAAGGCCCTAAGGTATTACGAGATAATAAAATTCTGTTACAGTTACAGTTAGAAATGTGTATTCAGGCATAATGGTTATGATTGGATAAGAATGGCATCATTGGCATGGCTGCCACTTTGCAACATCCAGGGCTATTCATTTTCTATTCCATGTGAATGGTGCCCCATGAACTTGTGTCATGTGGTGGCCACAGTAGTCAGTGGAGCAAATGAAATGAAGGATGAATTATTTGCACATGTGCACTAGCCTGTGGCAGCCTGCTTGGCCTCTGTAAGAACCTCGACTCTGCTCAGGTAGTCCCATATAAGGGGGTGCTCTCTCCATGGCAGCCTCACACACCAGGACATGTGCTCTGGTCCTTGACACTCCCCTTGGGGAGCCAGCCTAATGTCCTTCTCCTGAGCTGATTTGGTCAGCCAGTGCTCACTGGGGACATAAAGATTTTGGGACACTCACTGCCCAACGCCATCCCTGGTCATGAGCTATACCCTCCCTAGAATGCAGGGAAATTACCTCTTCCCACTCTCCTTTTCCCCCATTAAGTCTAGGGATGGAGAAAGGCAACAAGCTGGCTGCAGTGTTCCTCATCACTTCCAAGCTGTATGATCCAGCAACCGCACTTCTGGATATACACCCCACAGAACTGAAAGCGGACATAGTTATTTATACATGCGTGTTCACAGTAGCACTATTTACAGTAGCTAAAAGGTGGAAGCAATTCAAGTACCCATCAACAAATGAATGGCTAAACAAAATGTGGCATATACAAATAACAGAATAGTATTCAGTCTTAAAAAGGAAGGACATTCTGAAACATGCTAGAGCATGGATGAAACTTGGAGACATAATGCCAAATAAAACTAGCCAGCCACAAAAGGACAAACACTTGCAGTACCTGGATGGAACTGGAGAACATCATCCTAAGTGAATTAACGCAGGAACAGAAAACCAAACACTGCATGTGCTCACTGATAAGTGGGAGCAAAACTAAGGGACTGCAAAGGCATAGAGAATGGGATAACAGACATTGGAGACTAGAAAGGGGAAGATAGGATAGGGTGGAGGAATGAAGTTCAGTCTGGGAAAATAAAAAAAGTTCTGAAGATAGTTGTGGTGAATGCACTTAATGCCACAGAACTGTCCACTTTCAAATGATTAGGTGGCAAATACTATGTTATGTACATTATATCACAATGAAAAACTAAAACTAAAAAGTATTGACTAAAAGATTAATAAATTAAAATCAGGAAGTTATTGTCCATCAAAAGCCACCATAAAATTGAAAACACAGATAGGAGATGTTTAGAAAATGCATAATCAACAAAGAATAAGTATCAAGAAAAAAATTAATTCCTACATGTCAATTTTAAAAAGGCAAACAAATTAATAGAAAAATGAACAAAATATATGAACATTTTATGTAGTAGAAAACATTAACGGTCCCAAAACATACCAAAAAGTGCTTACCCCTACTAATGGTTAGGAAAATGCAAACTAACACCATGAACTACTACTTAATACCTTCTGGTTTGGCAAAAATCTAAAGGCTAATAAGATTATGCATTTTCAATGATGTATGTAGCTCAAAGGGAACTCTTTCTTACGTACTACAGATTGGAGTGTAAATTGGTATAATCATTCTGGAAGACAATTTGGCTTGATCTTTTTTTTTTTTTTTTGAGTTGGAGTCTCACTCCATCGCCCAGGCTGGAGTGCAGTGGTGCGCTCATGGCCACCCCAGCACTGATCTGCTGGGCTCCAGTGATCCTTCCGCCTCAGCCTTTCAAGTAGCCAGAACTACAGGCACATGCTACCAAGCTCGGCTAATTTTTTTAATTTATTGTAGAGATGAGGTCTCGCCAAGTTGCCCAGACTGATTTCGAATCCGTGGGCTCAGGCAATCCACTCACCCTGGCCTCCCAAAGTGCTGGGATTACAAGCTTGAGCCACCGCTCCCAGCCAGCATTATCTTTTAAAGTAAAACACTTAAATGCCCTGCAACTCAACTGTTATACTTTTAGGTATGTGTTCTAGAGAAACCCTTTTACCATATACAAGAATTTTCATAGCAGAATTGTTAAAGCAAAAAACCAAATCAATCTAAATGTCCATTGTCAAGAGAAGAAAAAATACATTTTAGTGTAATCATGATATCAAATTATACAACACTGAAAATAAACTACAGCTACATGCAACACCACATTCAATCTTAGAAACATAATGTTAAATGAAAAAGTATGTTTCAAAATGTTCCATATGGTATGATATTTTTATAAAGCAATATATTATTTAGAAATACATATAAATGTGATAATGTTATTTTTTTTAAGAAAGGATGTCCTAAACACAAAATTGGGAATAGTGGTTATCTTTGCATGTGGGGATAAAGATAGAGAATGGGGTAGAGAGTGTATAAACAGGTAGATGCTACAGTATTGGTAAGATTGTTAATAAAATGGGTAGTAGATTCACAGAATTCATTTTGTTGTAACTACATAACTTGCATATGTTCTATATGTCATATTATAAAAAGGACTTTAAAAGATAAGTACCAGCTGGGCTCGGTGGCTCAGCCTGTAATCCCGCGCCTTGGAAGGCTGAGGTGAGTGGATTGCCTGAGCCCGTGGGTTCGAGACCCGCCTGGGCAGTGAGACCTCATCTCTACAATAAATCAAAAATTCAGCCGGGCATGGTAGCACATGCCTGTAATTCTGGCTTCTCGGAAGGCTGAGGTGGAAGGATCGCCGGAGCACAGGAACGGCCACTGTGTTCCAGTCTGGGCGACAGAGTGAGACTCCAACTCAAAAAAAAAAAAAAAGACAAGTACCTTTACATTATGCATCTTATTATATTGTACCTCATATATGACTTATATATACCTCAATTCCAAGTGGTTTAAAAGCACAAATGTGAAGAACAACTAATAGAGGAAACTATAGAAAAACATGTCTGTAATAGACTTAATAAAAATTGTGTACAATATGTTGTTTTGAAATGCGTATACAATGCAGAATGGATAAACCAAGCTCGTTAATATGTATATTATATCACATGCTTATTTTTGTTGTTATGAGAACAATTAAAATCTATTATTTGAGTAATTGTCAAGGATATAATACATTGTTATTAACTATAGTCACCATGGTGTACAATAGCTCTCTTGACTTATGAATTACTAATTCTGGCCAGGTACAGTGGCTCACACCTATAATCCCAGCACTTTGGGAGGCCGAGGTAAGAGGACTGCCTTAGCCATGGGTTCGAGACCAGCCTGGGGAACTTGGAGAGGCCTCATGTCTACAATAAATCAAAAAATTAGCTGGGCATGGTGGCGCATACCTGTAGTTCCAGCTACTTGTAAGACTGAGGCTGAAGGACCACCTGAGCCCAGCAGGTCAAGGCTGCAGTACCCATGAGCATGCCATTGCACTCCAGCCTGGGTGACAGGGTGAGAACTCCAACTCAAAAAAAAAAAAATTACTAATTCTATTTTCTTTGGATATATACCTAGTGGTGGAATTACTGGATCAAAAAATATCTTTATAGCTGGGCTCGGTGGCTCAGCCTGTAATCCCGCACCTTTGGGAGGCTGAGGTGAGTGGATTGACTGAGCCCATGGGTTCGAGACCCGCCTGGGCAGCGAGACCTCATCTCCACAATAAATCAAAAAATCAGCCGGGTATGGTAGTGCATGCCTGTAATTCAGGTTACTTGGAAGGCTGAGGCGGAAGGATCGCCGGAGCCCAGCAGGTCGAGGCTGCGGTGGCCGGGAGCAGCCACTGCACTCCAGTCTGGGCGACAGAGTGAGACTCCAACTCAAAAAAAAAAAAAAAATATATATATATATATATATCTTTATGACCTCAAAATAGAAAAGAACTTCTTAAACAATGCATACACACAAATACAATGTACAACCATAAATAAATAAATTGATAACATTTACTATATTGATTTTACATGTCTGTATCTCAAAAAAAAAAGACACTAAACAAAGTAGTAAGACAAGTCACTACAGAAAAGACTTGAAGTGAATTTAATGAACAAAAAAAGAATATATTAAGATTAAAAGAATATATTATAAACTCATTAAAATATAAATTTTTAAAAAAATGAAAAGTGGACAAAGGATAGGACAGGCACGTTACAGAAAACAAATAAATGGCAAATAAATGTATTTACGATGCTCGATTTCACCAGCAAACAAAAAATACGAATAAAAACCATGGTGAAATATATATATATATATATATTTTTTTTAGTTGGCGTCTCACTCTGTTGGCCCAGACTGGAGTTCAGTGGCAAGCTCCCGGCCACTGCAGCCTCAACCTGCAGGGCTCTGGCGATCCTTCCACCTCAGCCTTCCAAGTAGCTGGAACTACAAGTGCATGCTACTACGCCTGGCTAGTGAAATATAATTTAACATCCACCAGGCTAGCAAAAACAGTAAAGTCTGATAGTGTCAAGCACTGCTGGGAATATGAAGCCTGGGCAATTCTCACATGCCACCAATGGGAGCTAATGCTCAATCACTTTAGGGGCCAACTTGAAAATATCCAGGAGAGATGAAAATGTACAAATTCCCCTACAACCCAGAGGTTCCAGTGCTAAAGATTTACCTAATCACACATGTGACAAGAAGATGTGTATAAGGTTTACTGTAATATTGACTGTAACAATGAAAAATTAGAAACAGGCTGGGCTCAGTGGCTCAGCCTGTAATCCCAGCACTTTGGGAAGCCGAGGCGAGAGGATTGCCTGAGCCTGCAGGTTCGAGACCAGCCCAGACAACTTGTTGAGACCTCCTCTCAACAATAAATAAAAAAATTAGCCGGGCATGATAGCGTATGTCTGTAGTTTCAGCTACTTGGAAGACTGAGGCAGAAAGATCACCACAGCCCAGCAGGTCAATGCTAGAGTGGCTGTGAGCATACCACTGCACTCCGGCCTGGGTGACAGAGTAAGACTCCAACTCAAAAAAAAAAAGAAAAAAGAAAAATTATAGAAATACCCTAAATATCCATCAGCAGGAGACTGAAGAGGTAAACTCTTTAATATTCATACAACGGAATATTGTAACAGCAGTTAAATTGAATAAATTATCTATAGCAATATGGATAATTCAAACATTGACTTAATAAAGTGAAACACAAACTGATAGAATTATCATCATAATTAAAATATGCAAGATAGGCAAGGCTCAGTGACTCAGCCTGTAATCCTGGCGCTTTGGGAGGCCAAGGTGAGTGGATTGCCTGATCCCGCAGACTCGAGACCCACCTGGGCAACTTGGTGAGACCTCATCTCTATGATAAATCAAAAATGAGCGATGCACGGTAGTGCACGCCTGTAGTTCCAGCTACTTGGAAGGCTGAGGCGGAAGGATCGCCG